CTGCGCGTTGAACTGTACAAGGTTTTTGTTACCCCAGTCCTCTATTATCTCCAGGTCGTTATTTATCTGCGATATTTGAGTTAGTCTAAGATGATGGAATTCACGTGCGGAAAGACCTGTGGGTGATATGAGGGAGGAGACTACATTGCCATCGTCTACAAAGCAATAAAGTGGATTTACTGTTTTATCTATGAGGTCATTTATGTAAATCAGAAAAAGAGTTGGCGAAAGGATTGCTCCCTGTGGCACACCAGCATTTATTTGGTAAGAGTTGGAGTTCTGGCCATCCAGTGCAACATAAATGGATCTGTCCTTTAGGTAACTTTCAAACCAAGTGCAAAGTTTCGGCGATAATCCCATTGCTTTGAGCTTGTTGAGCAGATTTTCATGCCAAACTTTGTCGAATGCTTTAGATATATCTAAGGCAATTGTTCTTGTTTCACCCCGCAACTCAATCGCTTTTTGCCATAAGTGAGTGACGTATGTAAGTAAATCGCCAGTTGACCTATATTTTCGAAATCCGTATTGCTTATCGTTGATAATTTTGTACTTTTCCAAGTACTTGGTTAGGTGATTGTTCACAACTCTTTCCATTACTTTTGATATCACCGGAAGTAGAGCAATTGGTCTATAGTTTAACGGATCTGTCTTTTTTCCTTTCTTTGGAATGGGTTGTACTGCGGCAGACTTCCATGATGATGGATATACTCCTTGCCTGTAAGACAAATTGAATAATTTTGCGAAAGTTGGAGTGAGTTCGTTGGCGCAATTTTCGAGTACTATTGCGGGAATGCCATCCGGACCCATTGCTTTGTTTGTATCTAGCTTTTTAAGGGATTTTCGTATTTCTCTGTGACAAAAGAGTACCTCTGGCATACTATGGGAAACCCTTTCAATGAACGGTGGAGTTTTTCCGTTTGGCACTGTTAGGTTGGAGTTGGAGGAAAACATTTGGGCCAGCATATTGGCTTTTTCCTCTGATGTTGTGGCTAAGTGATTATTTATTGGTCGAAAAGGTGCTGGTGATTCTCATTTTGGTTGCTGCGCAGAAATTTTTAGCAAATCTCTGTTGTCATCCACAGCTTCTTCGTTAAAGCTCCTAGTTTTGCCTGTTGTCCATAATAGTTTATATAATATTGTCGACTACTGTCTGTAATCCTAAAAAAATTGCTCCTAATATACAGACAGTACCGGCTACTAGACACATAGGCTTCAATGGGACCAGGTGACTGATACCCATTTCACTGCAGGATCGTCACATTCATCTCATTACTCCCTATGTGTCTAGTAGCTTGGTCAGGACTGTCTGTGTGTGTGGACCTCAAGATATGTTCGTTGTCGCGGTTTCTATTGTGACTTTCATTGAAAAATGTAATGCTCATTTCTACAAATTTCTATTCTATAGTCAGTTCAGAATTGATAAGACGACCGTATCATAGGAAAAACGATACTAAAATTTATTCCTTCGGAAAATTATCCATGAAATCTAATTAGGTACCGCTGCCAACAATGAAAGAAATAATAAAACCAGAAAAAGCTTGAAACCGGTATGTAATTAGTGCAGCATCCAATGATAGAGATTTCATATTCTCTCCATTGCCTTCCAGAGCAAAACCACACTTACTGTGTAAATTGGCCTTGACCAAAACAATATCTACAAACTCATCCTATGAGTTATAAGCAGTTGGTTTGGAGCTTCAAATCAACACTTGTGCAAAACTCCCTTCTGATGTATTTTCTCTGGCTACATAAACACGAAAAACAATCTAGCAAATTTATACTTGAGAGATTTTCCACCCACTATATCAGCAATTTGTCTTGTTTACCTACAGCTTTTTCATTCTTAAGTTGTTCTATGTTCTAATAGCACTTTCCCACCATACATAAACAGGTGTTTCGTTCCGTTGAGCCTTCTAAACATCTTTCTTCCCGATCGTCGTCGTGAAATTCAATTAATATAGGATTTGAATAGTTTATCAGGATCTTGTTATAAGTAGTTGTTTCTTGTCACTAGCTATTGATTTAATGATTGAGCTTAAAATTTTGAATGTTTATACTTTCTGGTACTATGGGAACTAGTTTTCCATAGTGGAATTCTGAGAAAAAAGTATGCTCAGATTTGTCAGTGTCTTTTATCTGTTGATGATAGCTTATGTTGAAACATACAATTCTTCTTCTAACTAACTCAGGTGCACCTCAATTCTTATGTTACGAAGGACTTGCTTAGTTTCAAGCACAAGTTGAGAAATATTTCCAAACAACCACTCACATACCTACTTATTTTTTTTTGAGTTTTCTGCTATAACTTTACCATCATCAATTCCAAAGTACAACTACAACAGTAATTGAAACACAAATCAACTAAAAATTTCCTTTTCTGGTCTGTAAACAACCATAGAACGTCTCGTATTCAGGAAGGACAATCCGATAGAGAGAATATGGTCTGAGGTATCGAGCGTAGCGGGTTCAGGCAAGGCAGTGACGTTTCCGCGTTCGAGTAACGCTATTTAATGCCAATTTACGATTGCACTCGCTGGAATTCCTAATTATTTTAAATAAAAATAGGGACTCCCGTTTTTATTGTTGCCAAGTCAGCTCAAACTATTTGATGATGGGACGAGATTAAGCCATGCATGATGATGAAGGAGTTTAATCATCAGTATTAACTTCTTCAAAATATTGGTGTACGATTAGCATTTTTCCCATAATTTTTCTTCTTTAACAATTTGTTATGAATTCTCGTCAATCAGATTGATATCTTGATTGATTCAAAGGAATTTTCTCCCCTACCACATTCAGACACATCAGCAGGTAACTACTGTGAAATAAATTCTTATACAAGTACCTACCAGTGAAAATTCATTAAAATACTCTTTATTACTTACTTTCAGCTGTCCGAAAATTAAAACAGCTCACTTACAATAGACCATTCCCACCCTAAATTAACTAATATTTTCACAAATAACATGCATCTAAATTAACCACTAACTAGCGGATAAATATCTCTAAAACACTTGGGCGGTTTTGTTTACAAACAAATCGTTTTTTTATTCAAATTCGTTACCTAATGTTATTGATTAACTCTAGAGATTACGCGATTAATTTACTATGTTGTAAAAAGGGCATTTAAATGTGTTGATTAAGGCTGATTTATGTCATGTGCATTTCGTACCCTTTAGATTGAAACTCTAATGAAAAAATATTCTAGAGGAATTTTGATATCCTTCCGTTTTAGTTTTCCTGGAAATAAGTGGTTCAGCTTGGTTTTATTGGAAAAATAAATCCTCTTTGGCTCATTTCATTGGTGAATGCTTTCCTGGAAAGTCCTGCTCTCCGTTTATTATAAAACATGATGTTTTATAGAAAATTTGAACTTTTCATTCTCAGTAATTTTATACATTTTAATGGTTATCATAAACCTTGCCTAATAGTAACCCTTTATGTGATCCTTATTGGCTTGACATTTCAACTTTTAATACATGTGTGGGTGGCACGAACACATCGGGGTTATTATGGTTGCGGTAGCTATTATGCCTAAAGTGGTAGTTAAGGCCATTTAAATTGTAAAAATACCAAGGCAAGAATAATTTTTTTATATATAGGTATTTCCGTTTTTAAATGTCTTTCGACGTTGTATGATTCCTAACTTCAACGCTTCTCGGTCATTCTATTGATCTTTCTACAAGTCTCTGGTACTCATTGGTTTCGTTATTCTTTCCCTCCACGTTTTCCTTGGTCTTTCCCTCTTTCTGCGGTTTGTTGGAGGGAGCCATTGCATAATTATCTTCGGTAGCCTTGTATCTTCCATTCTTTGTACGTGACTATACCATATCAGTTGTTTTCCCTCAATATTCATTGATAAGGAGTTTTCTATTCCTATTCGTTGACGTATGTCTTCATTTCAAATTCTGTCTTTTCTGAATACTTCTATTCTCCATTACGTGCATTTCAACTGCTTCAATTTTCTGTGATCCTCCACGTTTCTGCTCCGTACAAGAGACTGTTTTTGATGATTGTCATATCATTCATTTATACTATTGAAGATCATTCCTAGATATGCATATTCGCTGTATGTTTCAACCATCATTTTCCAGTTGGATGTTGGATGATTCTTCTCCCATCGGTAGGTATTTGAGTGTTTATTTTTAAGGCCCATTTTCTATATTCCTCCTGTAATTTCCTTGCCATGTACTCCAAGTCATCCTTGTCATGGGCAATACTAAACTAGTCATCGGCAAATTGGAGAGTGTATAAGTAAATTCGTTTTCACTGATGCAAGGGTCTAGCTACATATATTTTAAAAAACGTTGTAGATATACAACCTTGGCGAGACCCTTTGTTAACTACAAATTTCTGGGATACTCTGTTTCCAACTTTTATGTGCAATGTTGATCCATCGTACAGGTTATTTATTGCTTCAATCACAGTATGGTATGACGATTGTCTCTTCTATAGTTTCCAAAGTTCTTTGACAGGTAGAGTGTCGCTTTTTGAAGGTCGATGAACATGAGGTGAGTACTTTGATTTGTTTGAGTCGAGGCAAAACATGTTATCTGTACAGGTACTTCCAGCTCTGAATCCTGATTTTCCTCTTCCTCTTGGTCTCCAAATTCCTGTTCAAGTAGGTCACGTATGATTCGTCCATATAATCGACTTAAAGTACTTGTCACTGGTATTCCTCTGTAGTTTCAACAAACTAGCCTTTTTTATGGATGGACCATGTAGGCAAACTTCAACTCATCCGGTACTGGGTAGCCATTCAGAGATATTCGTTTATACAGTTAGTAGTGTTTTCAAAGGGTTTCGCTGTCCCATTTTTCACCAATCCAGCTGGGATGCCCTCTGGTCTAAGGCGGCTCAGAAGAACTGGACCTGTTTGAAGCAGGAAAATTTGCAGAATATTATTGGAGAACGAAATAAGAAAGTTGACACTGGAGTAGAAAGCGTACGACAAGAAACAGCAAAAGCACTAAAAGACAAACAAAAAGCGTCAGACCAAAATGGGAGAATTGAATTTGGAACTTGGAAGGTTGAAAGCTCAAAGACCTAATGAGCAGATCGTAGTCACTGGATATAGCATCAAATCACCAATGTATCAACGACAATTTCAGGTTCCGTGAACTACGAACGAGCAGAGTTAAGATTACATGGCTATGACATTATTCATCATAAGGACTACTTGGAAACAAACATCACAGGCTTCTATACCAAATCCAATCAAATTTACAAATACTTTCCAGGAATTTGGAGCACGGAGCAGACAACCGCCGCCGATTTATCTTGAATTATACGGGCGCTATTGAAGAATTTCAACGAACGAAGATCCAAATATTTGGTCAGCGGTTGGGCAGCGAATACCTGAATAGAAAACTAGAAATAGAAGTGGCCGACAACATTTTCGAATCAGATATGAGGGCAGTAAGATTGGAGAAGGATAGAAATGTAAGAGACGACTTAAAAGAAACTTCTACCAGGATTCACAATATGGACGAAAGGGGCTGCTATTTACAATAAATTTTCCTACAAAAAAAAAAGTAATTGATTAACACTAAGGATCAAGTGCTGACTAGAGAAAACAGAGCAACCAAAGAAAGAATTGCTGATATATCTAGAAGCAGTTCTTTAGTTTTCCTATGATGAGCGTAAGAGAATTGCTTTCATTCGAAGAATTGAATTTAAAAATGACAAGATCAACTTTCCGGTATGGATGTCCTAAAAACCTCCGATCTCCTATCTGTGGATTTTAGAAAAAAAATGCCGAGAGTGGGCAACTCACCTTCAAATAAAATAAGAACTGTCAAACCAGAGTCATTGTCAACGAATTTTAGTTAAGAAGTGAAACAATACGCTAGAAAAACAGCCAGAATAGTGGTAGTGGAACTAACCAGAAACAGACAGAATATAACTCTTGTGGCATACTGTTTGGTCAACGATATTTCAGGGATGGTAGCATGGTAGCCAATCAATCGGATGACGTAAAAGAAAGGAGAGGTCACTAGATATCCGAGTAGTCAGATGCAGAAAGTAGAGGCCTGTGTCATATTTTTGGAGCTAATGAAAAATTTCAAAATGATCATGAGAACATTCATCAACAACTCTCCCAAGAAGACAAGGAAGCAGCTAAAAACTCTAGACTTGTTCAACAGATGTGAGCTAAATATACCGACACAGATAATGATACTGACGACGACATTACTAAGAAAGACTTTCAAAAAAAAAGATGATGAAAAGAGATCGGATATTTTGCTTGACTGGCAAACGAACAACGACTTATATGGCAAGAAATTTCGGTCAACCTGTAAAGGGATACTGGCTCCAATCGGATCCGCTGTGCGTGCGAGATGACTCAATCACTGGTAAATTTAAGAGTTTGGATAGGAAAAGTCTGGTATTTCGAACTGATGAGCCACAGACCATGGAGGAGACAGTGCTACGTGAACTGTAGTCGAAGTGTTGGCCACTTTGGGGACAATAGTACGTTGGTTCGAGTAAGAGATCGATTGGTGCAGAAGATGCGATCTCTTTGCTTTGAAGGAGGTACTTGGACACAAACTCGAGGAAAAATGAAGCAGTGCCTCTTTAGGATCCTTCTGGCAGAGAATTGACATGGCTAAAATAAATCCGGGAAAGAAGTTCTTCATGGTTGTTATAGATTATTTCTCATAACCAGAAGTAGTTCCAATTTTCAATCAAGTAGCGGCTACAGTTGCTGAAGCATTTCTGAAAAACATCATTGCTAGACAAGGGAGGCATTTTGAATCCAAAGTATGGAAAAAACTGATGCGATTGCTGGGAATAAGGAAAATGACAACGAATCCAGTTTATTCACAGTCTGACGGAATGGTCGAAGGCATCAAACAATACTCCTAAATGCTTGTAGTTGAGGCTAGTGAAACTCGAATAAACTGGTGTACACCTTCTTCTTCTGATTTATAGAAGTTTTGACCACGAATCAACACTATTGATGTTGTGAGCTGGAGGAAAAATGAAGCTTCAGAATCATAGTTTTGTAGACTACAAGCCGATGAAGCTGTGCTGTCATTTTACGTGGCTGATCTCCAGGACAGGCGCAAAGTACTTCAACAGGAACAGATTACATCCCCACAGCGACAAAATGAAAATGAAAATTGACACACAGCTGCCATAGAAAAGCTGGCTCCATTCAGAGGAGAGAATACACCGACTTGGTACAATCAGTAGAAGCTGCCCGGCAGAGAGCACGAGAACAGAGTCGGCCGCCGGAGGAGAGACATTGGTGATGATGCTACTGTGTCAATAATAGGTTAGGAATCAATAAATTAATTAGTGGAACTCCAGTCGATAGTAAGACAGTGAGTTGTGATTCAGTTTTGTGACTAGTTAAGCTTTATTATAGTTTTATCATCACGGAGTGCTAGTTTTGTCGAGATTTTTATGGTATTGTTTTGAATATAGGTAAATTAATTTTAGAAGAGTAGCTTCACTTATCTACGAAACCGCTTATGTTACAGTTCAGTAGGGTTTGACCAGTTAAGAATACGGTCCATTTTATTGCTGTCAGGTCTCAGGTTCAATTGGGGTGAATGGTACTTTTAACTAAAGCTACAATTTTGCCTTCTGGCTAACTTTTTCCAAATGAGCGTTCCAGTCCAGGATGACTCCCAAATACTTTACTTCATTTGAAAATGGTAGGTACTAATTCTTCCCGAATAGTTAGGGTTACCAAGTTATCAAGTTTTCTTCTCCAGGTAAATGGTACTATGACCGTTTTGTGAGGATTGATTGTCGTTTCCTCTCTCTCGCACCAATCAAGCACGCAGTCTAGCACCTCTTGGAGTGCAGCTGAGACCCTCGTCTCAGAACTACCCTTGGCTATTATAACTAGATCGTCCGCATATGCTTAAGCCTCGACCTTCCATAGTTGTATGACGGCCAGGAGGTCATCAACCAGGAGTGACCACCGAAGCGGAGAGGCTACCCTTCCCTGCGGAAGTCCCTGGCGGCCCTGAACCTGACCGTTTCCCCCTGTAGAGAAGTCGTTATCACTCTACCGTTCTCCATAGTCCTAATCCAGTTACAAATTAGTGCCGGGTTGATGCCTCTAGATTTTGTTTCCTCGTAAAGAGAGCTTGGCATCGCATTGGTAAAAGCTCCCTCTATGTCCAAGAAGGCGGCAAGTGCAATGCTCTTACGTTCCAGAGAAGTGTCTAGCGACCAGGTTACCAAAAGCCAGCTCTGTGGACTTTCCTGCCTGATAGGCGTATTGATAGGTACTAAGGGGGTTAGTCCTGAACGCCTCCCTCTTAATTCACTCATCCAGCATCTTTTCTAAAGTTTTCAGGAGGCATACCAACCTGCTGATCGGCTACTTACGAGAATGTCACTCTACATTTGAAGTTTGGAGAAAATTTGATCAATCGAATGGTACCAGAGATGATAGACATCAGGCAGTCTTCCCAGAGGTATTCATCTTTTGCTGTATAGCAAAGTTCAAGTGTCTATCCTGAAATAAAGAAGGCGTTATTAACCTTTCTTTCTTAAATTTGTTCCCAATCCCCCGGAATCATATTCATTTAGAAATCTATATTGGTAATTATACAAGATGGAAGCGGATGTGATACAGAGCGCCAAAGGGAAAGAAAATTGACTTATAGAATAGTGGAAATTGAAATAAAGTGAGTATCTTTGAGACGACTCAAACGTACTTATTCGATACCATCGGGGATGATAATACAAATTTGTACATCAGAAATCCCTAAGATTGCCTTAGTAGTATTGGAAAACGGATGAGTGGTTTATTTATATCAATATCTTATAATAACTCAAAATAAATATTTTAAAAGATAATCCAAAAACAATCTGGTTTTGATCTAAATTTAAATATAGACATAAACAAGTAACCACTTTTAGAAAACGGTTCGGCCACAGATTATACGTATGTTGCATCTAATTTAAATCCAATGAACTAAGTATTTATGATATTCTTTGACCTGGTTTCGATTTTGAAACAAGAAATTACTAATTTACTTTATCACCCTAAAATAATTGAACGAGATTTTATTAATTTGCGACCCGTATACCTACAAATTGACGCTGATGGCAGGAAGATTCCCCAAAGCTATTATTTTCGAAAGGCAAAACAGATTTATTTACAACTTAAATGGAAATGTGATTTGATTAGTCGCGCACCCCCCTGGTTCGGATGTTATTTCCGAAATGTGATTTCCCCGGCAAAAGCTCAGGGGTGTAAGAAGACAATTATTTCATATCATTAAAATCTGGAGGGATTTTACACTGAAAAATTCGCAATGGAGTTTAAAGTCAATTTTATAACAGGGGGTTGTTCGAATAATAATAAGGCATCGATTATTTTGGTATTAGGGGGATATCTAATAGAAAAAAATATGCTATTGTGGTAGTGGATTTATTTCTTCAATTATCACACTAATGACTAATGTTAATGAACTTCTAATGTAGGCAGCCAAACAAAGTATAACTAGAAAACCGCTATAAGCCATTTCCTTTTAATATCTTTAAAACTTAAGTCGGCTTCTTTATGCATATAAAACGAGTTACTATTCCTTAATTGTTTAATTTGTTTGTATGCAAGGACCGTATTATATCTATCCAGTTTGCTTGTAATTATCATCAGCCATTTACAACGTCCTCCCATTATTTCACTTTTGCCTTGTTGCTCGCTTTGTTTTGACTGCAGCGACTCTGTTGCAGGATTTCTGAGTAGTTTTCGCAACTAACATTATCAACGTAACAAAGATATTTTATCACACTAGAATTATTATTATTATTCACGTGTTCCAAGCAGTAAATTAGGGCAACTTGTAGTTTAGAGATGGAGTTGAGCTTTACTACTTTCATGGATTATTATTAAAGAGATTACAAGCCCCTTATTTTGTCACTTTGTTATGGCATCCCTATTATGAGCATGATGCGGAGTAGCCGAGCACACTTCAAGCGATGTTGGATTTCAGCATCAATGGTTGCATTCGCTGACAGATCGCTCCCAAGGTATGGGTAGTGTTCTACGTTCTAAAAAAAATGGTCATTTATAGTTGAGGCTTGGGGATCCGGTACGGGTTGGTACAGAATCTGCGTCTTCTTGAAGTTGACCTCTAGGCCGATTCTCCATCCATCACTTTATCTTTTCATTGTAAAGTAAAGATCAATCATCAAATCTCAAACCAACCATATATGTATAGCTTATTGACTAAACAATTAATTTTAAAAAAAAGCACAATACATAAATCAAACTCGATGATTAAAACAGCGGAACAGTTTTAAATAATAATAAATACAAGAGTGTGGTCTCGGTTTCCGCTTAAAGCAAATATTGCCGTTTGAATTAGCGTCGGGCGCTAAACTTCTGACATCGGCTATTTGCATTTAAATGAAGCGGCTAAGTGCGCATACACAACAAACAGACAAACGGTAATAATTCAATTAAA